ATAATTTGAAATTAGTAAATATAAAAAATTAATTTAAACTAAAATTTTATCCTAAAACGACATTGTTTTATGAATGAGACTGTAACAACTATTTTAGTTTTTAGTTAAGTATTCTGAACGATGATCTGGACTAACTATTAGGATTTTTTTACAGGCTTGATAAAATCATAGAAAATAACGTTACATTATATGACATAGTTAAAGTTTTGTTCAAGTTTATATGTGTGTGTGTGTGTGTGTGTGTATATATATGTATATATATTTAATTATACCATATAATATTATTATCCATCTAATTGGAGGAATTTTAAGATTTGCAGTTATGAACTTAAGATTATACATGTTATGTGGTCCACCACATATTAATTGGTTGATATTTATTCAACTACAATTTTATGAGCATTAAATGTGACCTGAAGACCAAAACTATCGTTCATTACTTCATTGTATATGATATGACACTTTTAATTAAATCAATTTATTTCTTAATTGGAAATGAAAATATAATTTACCAAACAAAATATTTTCAATCTTTTTAAATTGTTGTTTTAAGATTATTGGAATCTAAATGAGATTGTGCACCATATGTTTGTAATGGCTCATGAATTATAATATAATATTTGAACATAAAGAAAAAACTAACCAACTAACCAAGATTAAATTTTAGAATATATTTATAACTCATGAAAATGACTATAAATTATTATATTAAGTGAAAAAATGCATATGAAAATTATGTCACTGGAAAAAGGGAATGTAATATGAATAACATTTAAAAATTTTGCTAACAACAAAAAAACAAGAACAACATAGTCTTTTAGTCCCATGTAAGTTGGGGTAGGCTAGGATGAAACCAAGAGAACCAATGGTAAGAGAAACACAAAAAAGGCTCAAAACAAAAGGAAGAGATTGGAGCAAAAGAGAAAGGAGCAAAAGTCACAGTTCTGGCACGTTGATTGCTAGCCTCCAAGCGCTCCTATCCACCGCGAAATCCTTGGAGATATTCTAATCTTTAAGGTCTCTCTTAACCGACTCTTCCCAAGTGAGTTTAGGTCGACCTCTACCTCTCTTTACATTCGACCCGTTGTAGAACTCCCCTACGCACCGGTGCATCAGGAGGCCTTTGTTGGACATGTCCGAACGACCTCAACCGATGTTGAACCAATTTCTCCTCAATTGGAGCCACCTCGACCCTA